CCAAGCAGATCCCTGAAGAGGTCAAAGTCTGATGATGCAGTAGGTCTCCAGGGAGATGCTACCTGCAGAACAGTATGGGATTCTAAGACATTTCACCACAAGAATAGTGGAAGAATCAACATCTTAGCACGGGCAGTTGCAAAAGTTTGCTTGTTATGCTTATGATATGTACCCAGAGATGAAGTATGACTATTAATTACAAATCTCAGTGTTTCAAGTCTGGAAAAATGCCAGACAAAAAAGGTCTAGCTAGAAGATAAACATTGGTACAAGAATGAGTGGCCGTCTGCAAAGTAGAAGATGAATCCTTATTAGAGCAATGAGATACCGATATAACTTCCCAATCAACATAGGGTATCCTTTGAGTTAGGGGTGACTATCATTTGGAAAAGAGCCATCTGATAGAGTCATAGGGATAGGCTTAGCACTGTGAACTGAACCTCTCAAGCTATTTTTGTTCTGGTTAGCAATCGTTCAGGAGCTTTTCCAGTCTTTCTGAACTTTTTTTCTCCTCCTCATGCTGATCTTTCCCTTAACCTCATTGGTGTTTTCTCTCTATCCTTTGTTTAACCTAGGCTGGGTTTTCCAGGTGTTTAATAATATGTGATGCTTGCTCTTTTCAGCACATGTAACCACCATCACACCTAACAGGTATTTCTACACTGTCAGCAGTGCATGTTATTTAGATTAGTATCTTCAGTACAGTCAAATACCTCCATTCTGGAAGTGTCCTGCAGTACTTCCTCCATCATCCTAGAAAACCTGGATTGGTAGTTCTTAGTCACGCTGACCATTCCAAAAGACAAATTACCGTCTGTCTGCTTCACTGAGCTATGCCAAGCCTTCTAAAGCCTTACGATTGCATAGAGCCATCCTGTCATCAGAGTGGTCTTTTGTCCCATTGGCAAGCTTCTGGAGCTTTGATGAGCACACCTTCCAGTAAGGAAATCTTCATGTGCCCCCACATTGGTTTGCTTTCCTCATGCAAGAGAGGTCAGTTGTTATTGTGATTTGTCAACTCTTCTTGTAGCATTTTAGTCAGATATCCTGGCAAAGTGACTTTGTGTTGTACAGACCTTGTGTCTGACCATTTGAAAGAGCTAAGAGTATTAAATTTCTTTTTACAGGGGCTGTTCTCAGCTACTTTTTGTTGTACTCTTGAAGTCTTGCTCTAGTTTAGAGCATGTGATACCTTTTCTTTGAGCACTGCTCTAAGAATTTATCTGCTCTCTGCCTTTCTCATTTCTCTAATTTGGAGAATGGTAGCATTTTGAGTTTGTTACAAGTTCTTGTTAATTTAGACTGCCTTAGAGAAGGTAATTTGTGTCATTGGTCTGGTTTCTTTTAAAATTTTCTTTGTACTACTTGGGTGTCTTGGCTTTAAGCTCTAGTGACCTATATTTTTTCTTTTTTATTTATGAGTAGGTTATTAAAAAGAAAGTTTGTTCTTATGTCTCCTAGGTTCCAAAAGAGAAAGATGAAATGGTGGAACAAGAATTTAATCGTCTGCTGGAAGCTACCTCCTACCTCAGTCATCAGCTGGATTTTAATGTTCTCAATAATAAGCCTGTCTCCCTAGGTCAGGCTCTGGAGGTTGTCATACAGTAAGTGACTTCTCTCCTCATGGTAGATTTTACTGTTTTATGAAGGATTTTCCAAAAGATACCTGAAACAATGGTGATGGTCCTAGAGTAAGCATTACCCACTTAATACAGCTGTGTGATCTCTGATGAGTTCTTGTTTGTGTTAATGAGTTTTCTCAAGAACGTGAGTATCTCTCACTCTCACTTCTCACCTTTTCCAGATTGCAGGAGAAGCATGTGAAGGATGAGCAGATCGAACACTGGAAAAAGATTGTGAAAACACAGGAGGAATTGAAAGATCTCCTTAACAAGGTCAGATGATGATATTTAGAACAAGAGGTTAGCATTGGGTTCCTCAGAAAGTGGCAAAATATACAAAAACATCCATGGAGAAATATCAGAAAGTTACCATTAATGCTGTTCTTAAACTAATTTGTTCATTTAAGACCTGTGTAGAAGCATTGTTACGACAAAGAAGTCTCCATTTTTTGAGGAGGAGCACATAAATTATTAGGCAGAAAACTGTAAAACATAAATGTAGGAAAAGAATGGGAGAGGACAGACATGATAAACAGTGTTGTTTCATAGCTTCCTTTAAAGACGCTGATAATGACTGAGGCTTTTGGGGAGTTATTTTAAAATGTTTATTTTTCTTTACCACAAATCTGATTTGTAGTGTAGAAACAGTGTTTTAGGCTTATTTAAAATATTTTTGGTTGTGGTAGATGGCATCTTTACTTCTCCATGGAAGTTTCTCAAATTAAAAATGTCTGAGAACAGCTCTCTTATCCTAAGTTATTTGTAACATATTTTGTAGGAAATCAACAATGCTGGATTTAAGCTGTGTTGTTTTGGGGTTGGTGGTATTTATTGTGGTTTCTTGGAGGTAGAATTGCATATAAGTAACATTTTCCAAATCCAGGAAATTTCTTTGGTATAATGGCATAGTTTGAGATGAATATCCATTTTACACAGTAACTTTTTTTTTTGTCCTTCCTTTCTCTCTTTTACTACTCCACCTGAAAAAGATGGTAAATTTAAAAGAGAAGATTAAAGAACTTCATCAACAGTATAAGGAAGCATCAGAAGTGAAGCCACCTCGGGATATTACAGCAGAGTTCCTTGTGAAAAGCAAACACAGAGATCTGACTGCACTTTGCAAGGTAAAGGATGACATACATACAGCATTTGAGTGGCTTCTGAGGATTTCAGGACCCAGATAAAATTAGCCAATATAAATGTTTCCACATCTCTCTCTCTGATCCAAGATTCTTAAGAGAATGTGATTGATGGTAACTCTGGGATTTAGTAGGCATAAAAGTATTGCATTAAGCTTTTATGGCTGAGTGTTTAAATTCCTGAAACATTAACATACTAATCTTTTCTGTAGTGTGGCATGGACTTCTGTATAGTAGAACAGCAGAATCCAACATGCGGGATTAAATGTTGGAAAAATAAAGAACTTGATTTAGATTCCACTAAAACTGTTAATCTTCCACTGATTTCTCCTAAAATTAGGTCTAGTCTGATGCTACATTATGTCTTTAAGTCCTTTTACATGTAAACTGATTTTAATGTTAGCTTTTAATCTTATCAGGAGTATGATGAATTGGCAGAAACACAAGGAAAGCTGGAAGAGAAGTTACAAGAACTTGAAGCCAATCCACCAAGGTGAAGATACAAACTATAAAAATAAATACTCAGGAAAGCAGGTTTTGGGGTTTTTTACTACTTTTCACTGAGTTTCAAAAATGCTACAGTATGTTTTCTCAGTCGGCGAGGAGCACAGTGGTGTCAACGGTAAGTTCCATGGCTGAGCGCGTGTGAGGAGGAAAGGGCAGGTTCCTGCAGCCAGGGAAACGTGACAGAGTTCCCTCAGGAGCGGCCGATCTCGCGAGCCAGGGCTGACACCGCAGGGGCACTGCCAGGAGCAACCGCGGGAGATTTAAATGGCCCCTCGGGAGCGCCAGCAACCAGGAGCAGTGAACAGGATGGCAAACAGGGTGTGGTGTGGCAGTTTGAGCAGGCGCGGCATGCGGGCAGGGCAGTGGAACTCAGCCAGAAGTGTCAGGAAACCATGGTGTCTACTCGCCAAAAAATTAAGGCCTCTCCAAGCTCCACACCAGCTGCGACTGATGTGACCTCCCAGATGGAGCCCCAGTGGGTGCGTGCAGCCACCCAGTTGTCAGGCTGCAGGGCCTGCCCCCGACTCTCACTGGTATCAGAGGCCAATGGGGAATGCACCTGTGGAAGATGTGCCCAGGTGGAGGAACTCCTCCACTTAATGGTGGAACTCCAGGAAGAGGTGAGCAGGTTGAGGACTATTAGGAAGTGTGAGAGTGAGGTTGACTACTGGAACAACACTCTGTGTTCCCAGTCTCAAACCCAACGAGGAGGCATGCCTTGTGCAACAGAGGACTCCCTATCCTCTCTCCACCCAGCTGAACAGAGAGATTTAGGAGACGGGGAAAGGCAACAGGTTCCTGCCCAGTGCAGCAGGCATGTGCGCCTGTGACAACCCCAGCGTCCCAGGTTCCCTTGCACAATGGATACAAAGCTCTGCAAGTGGAACCCAACCTTAATGTGGATGGTGGTTCCCACAGCCCAGAAACATTCCCAAGGTTAAACCCTGCATCACATCGGCTTCCGTAAAGAAGACAGGTCATTGTCATAGGAACTCCTTTCTGAAGGGAACAGAAGACCCGATATGCAGATCAGACACTTTTCATAGGGAAGTCTGCTGCCTACCTGGGGAAGATGTGGAAAGAAAACTTACAACTCAGGTAAGGCCCACAGATTATTATCCATTATTGATTTTCCGAGTAGGCAGTACTGAAACCCTAACAAGAAGCCCAAGAGCAATTAAGAGGGACTTCAGGGCCCTGGGACCAATGCTGAAGGGATCAGGTGCACAGGGTAGTGTTCTCCTCTGTCATTCCTATCACAGGGAATGATGAGGGGGGGAATAGAAGGAGCCAGGAAATAAATACCTGGCTCCGAGCCTGGGGTGAGGAGCAAAATTTTGAGTTTTCTGACCATGGCTTGGCCTACACAACACCAGGCCTGCTGGCAAATAATGGGGTATACCTGTCTCCAAGAGGCAAAAGGATGCTTTCCAAGAAGTTAGCAGGGCTCATCAAAAGAGCTTTAAACTAGGTCTGATGGGGGAGGGGACTGAAACCAGAATTGCTAAGAATAGACCTGGGGATGGCACTGCATTGTCCAAGGGGTGGTGTGCTAGCAAGGCTCTTTGGTCTGCCACCTGAGAGGAAGCGGGTGATATTACTCCAAGTGGCAGCAAAGATGCAAATGATATTGATGGGTTAGAAACAACAGTGAGTAGTTACTTAGGCACTAAGACTATCCCCCTCGGAAGAGTGGCGGGTTCAGTAGCCCAACTAAAGTGCCTCTACACCAGTGTACACAGCATGGGCAACAAACGAGGAATTAGAAGCCATTGTGCAGCAAAAATCCTATGATATAATTGCCATCATGGAAGCATGATGGGACGACTCGCGTAACTGGAGTGCTGCCATGGCTGGCTATAAACTCTTCAGGCAGGATAGGCAAGGAAGGAGAGGTGGCAGGGTAGCCTTCTACGTTAGAGAGTGTTTTGATAGCATTGAGTTCAATGATGGTGTTGATAGGGTTGTGTGTGTATGGGTAAAAATCAGCAGAATGTCCAGTAAGGCAGATGTCATGGTGGAAGTCTGCTATCCTGCCCAGCCAGGATGAAGAGACAGATGAAGACAGGCTGAAAGAGTTGGGGCTGTTCAGCCTGGAAAAGAGAAGGCTCCAGGGAGATCTCATAGCGACCTTCCAATACCTGAAGGGGCTACAAGAAAGCTGGGGAGGGACTTTTCATAAGGGCAACTAATGACAAAACAAGGGGAAATGGGTTTAAGCTGAAAGAGGGGAAGTTTAGATGAGATATTAGGAAGAAGTTTTTCACTGTGAGGGTGGTCAGACACTGGAACAGGTTGCCCAAGGAAGTTGTGGATGCCCCCTCCCTGGAAGTGTTTAAGGCCAGGTTGGATGAGGCTTTGAGCAACCTGGTCTAGTGGAAGGTGTCCCTGCTGATGGCAGGGGGGTTGGGACTGGATGAGCTTTAAGGTCCCTTCCAACCCTAACCATTCTATGATTCTATGAGATATTCTACAAGCAACTGGGAGAAGTCTTTTGACCACTAGCCCTCGTTCTTGTGGGGGACTTCAACTTACCAGCTGTCTGCTGGAAGTGTAATCTTCCAGTATAAGAAAGGAATCAGTCTAGGAGGTTCCTGGAGCATGTGGAAGACAACTTCCTGACACAACTGGTGAGTAAACCAACTAGGGAAGGTGCCCTGCTGGACCTGTTGTTTATGAGCAGAGAAGCTCTTGTGGGGAGATGTGACAGTTGGAGGACACCTGGGACACAGTGATCACAAAATGATAGAATTCTCGATTCTCGGAGAAGCAAGGAGGGGGAGGCAGCAGAACTGCCACCTTGGACTTTGGAGGACAGACTGAACTGTTTAGAAGACTGTCAGTAAAGGTGGGTGACAGTCCTAAAGGGCAAAGGAGCCCATGAAGGCCGGATGTTCTTCAAGAAGGAAATCCTGGAGGCGCAAGAGCAGGCCATCCCGATGTGCCAAAAAACAAGCCGGCAGGGAAGAAAACTGGCTTGGCTGAGCAGAGGGCTTTGGGTGGATCTCAGAGAAAAGAGGAAAGTCTGAACTTTGGAAAGGGGGCAGGCATCTCAGGACTGCAAGGATGAAGTGAGGTCTTGCAGAGAGAAGGGCTAAAGCTCAACTAAAACTTGAATTGGCTGACTCTGTGAAAGATAAAAAATATTAATATATTAACAACAAAGGAAAGCCAAGGAGGGTGTAGAGAGGTGTGTGTCTTCTCTCCCAGGTAACTAGTGATAGAACAAGAGGCAGTGGCCTCAAGTTGTGCCAAGGAAGGTTCGGATTGGATGTCAGGAAGAATTTCTTCACTGAAAGGGTTCTCAGACAATAGAACCGGCTGTGTAGGGCAGCAATTGAGTCACTGTGGTGGTTTGACCCCCACGTCAAACCCCTGCACTCAGTCCCCCACCTGGTGAGATGGGAAGGGTATCACAACAAAGGGGGCACAGATCAGGATGAGGACAGGGAGGACTCCCTCACCAATTAGGGTCATAGGCAAAACAAGCACAACTTGGGCAAGAAAAGCCAATTTAACTGATGGTTACCAATCATCCGAGTAGCGCAGTGAGACATACCAACCACATCTCACAGCGCTTTCCCCCAACCCTCCCTTCTTCCCGGACTCAAATCACTGCTCCCAATTTCTCTACCTTCTCTCCTCAAGTGGCACAGAGAATTGGGGTTGCAGTCAGTTCAAATCTACTGCTCTCCCCAGCATGAAAGTCCAGGAACAAAGTGTTTCAATGTGAGCTTCCCATGGAATCATGGACCTCTTTGGGCTCAGCTCCTGGCTCCAGCATGGGGATGGGCCTCTGGTCCAGCATACCTCCTCATCCCCATCTGGGGGTCCACCCCCACTATGGCATTGAGCAACTCTCAGGTCTCAGTCACATTTGCCCTTGGGCTTGGCTTTTCTGCTCCAGCGTGGGATCCTCCGTAGCCTACATGTGGGTATCTGCTCTGCCTTGAACTTCTGTGGGCTGCAGAACCTCCTTTGCCTTCTCCTACTCCATGCGTATTGAACTGGGTGTCTGAGGTTCTCTGTCCTCCCCCCCTCCTCCCGGCAATGAAGCTCTCTTTGTTTAGACCAGTGGTAGTCTTCTGTTAGGTCAATGGCCTCTCATCCAGGTTCTCTCCACCTTCTTTTCAGGACAGTCCTTCCCCTGATAACATACCAATCCTGCTCCTTTTGTCAGAATATTATTTTGTGTTCTGTTTGATTATACTAGGTTTTTAGCCTCATTCTTAATACATGCTACTTGAGCCATTCTCTATGTAATTTTTTTTATTTTTAAAGTTAGTTTCTAGCTTCGCTTAGAACATTTTACATGAACTCTACTTTGAAAATGTGAATTTGCTGGGTTTTGATATTCAGCTTTCATGAAGGAGGTCCAAATGCTGGACAGAGAATCTCCTTGTGTCCTTTTCTTGATTTTTTTTTTTTTTTATTTTTATTTCTCCACTAAGGATAGACTAAAAAAAAATTGTGAATAGATTTTCAAAAGCAATAAACTTGCAATATGCTGCTGTAGCAAACTAAATGCTTTTATATTGTGTTGTTTTGGTTTGGTTTTTTTTCTAGTGATGTTTATCTGTCATCAAGAGACAGGCAAATACTCGACTGGCATTTTGCAAACCTAGAATTTGCTAATGCTACACCCCTCTCCACACTTTCACTGAAGCACTGGGACCAGGTAGGTAATTAATGTATTCACTCAATAATACACTAAAAACTTAAGCTATATTTATTTCATTCTCATGGAAACTTCTCTGTTTTAACAGTTTTTAAACACTTAAGTGCTACCTTCTTATATGCACATACTGAGCTCTTACATGAAAATTATTTGCTCATGAAATCCAGACAGCTTTTTGTTAGTGCGAAAACAACCTCTAATAATACTGTCTACTGAAAGTTCCTATAATTATTACTTAACTAATAAACAGAAAGGGTTTCAAATTTATTTGACTCATTGTTTGAAAAAAAAAAAATAAAATTAAAACATGTTGCCATTGTATAGTGTTGCTGATTATTTTCTGTTGAATTATGTGATTTCATTATCAATGCATGCTTTTTATGCATTTTCATTTTAGGATGATGACTTTGAATTCACAGGCAGTCACTTGACTGTGAGGAATGGATATTCCTGTGTGCCTGTAGCCTTGGCAGAAGGGTTGGATATTAAATTAAACACAGCAGTTCGACAGGTTCGCTATACAGCATCAGGTAAATGAAACCACCTTCTCTGGAAAACTGCTCTGAGGGAGTATGATCATAGAAATTAGATCTCAGTGCTTCTGGAAGCAAGTGTTAAGACTGATCTTGTAAAAACCCTATTATATATGTTTTGGGTTAGATAAAGAACCACGTTTCTTATTGTGATTAATTGTGTAGGAAGCTGTTAGAGTTTTATTAATCTCTAAAATTTTTTGCCTGTTTCATTGTCTGGTTTGTCACCATCCTTTTCAGTTGCTTTTACCGATTCACAAGTTCACATTTTCCCATTTCTTTACTTCATTAATTGAAGCACTTGCAGTAAGAGGTCTTGACTGCTTAAGACTTTGTGCCACAGGATCTGGTATTAGAAGTGTAAATGAATGTAATATGTACTCAAACAAATTGAAGGAATATATCTTTTTGCCTGTTATTCAGAACATTGGGCTTGGGAAACTGTGAACTGGGAGAAGACTCAATGAAAGGCTCACTCTCTACTTGCTATTTATTTATGCATATGTTTAAATATAATTTACTGGCCTAGATTAACCCAGTATAGCCATTTTCAGATGCTGTGTAAATTACATTTTCTGGAATTGAGCTATGTGGCCAGTAACATTCACTTGCCTACAAGTTAAACAATTGTTAGTGTAAAGCTGTCTCCATAAACAAAATGTTTTCTGATGTGGATATGTTTTTATGGTAGTTTCTTTAATTTTTAATCCAGTGCTCTTGCTTCCTGGCTTATTTAATGGTTGTTTTTCTCTCCCCTTTTCAGGCTGTGAAGTGATAGCTGTTAATACCCGATCTACTAGCCAGACTTTCATTTATAAATGTGATGCTGTGCTGTGTACTCTTCCCTTGGGAGTACTGAAACAGCAGCCTCCAGCAGTGCAGTTTGTGCCGCCTCTTCCTGAGTGGAAAACTTCTGCAGTGCAGCGTATGGGATTTGGCAACCTCAACAAGGTGACTTGGTCATTGAGAGAACTGCAGCAGAACTGGGGTTGCAATAGGTAGAATCTGAAATGTATAGGGAATGTGTATGGTGGATGAGAGGAAGAACATTTTTTCCACTGGTGTTTTGCTAGATTTTGATCCTGAAGATTATCTGAAGAACTGTAAGGACCTCTTCTCTATTTCTGACACAATTTTTAAACAGTTAAATTACCAAAGTCAGTTGACTCAATGTATGCTGTAGCTTGTTAATTAGCAAATTTGTAAACTATGAGAGCATACTAACCTATGGAAGGCAGTATAGGTATACACTTCTATGTATTTCATATATGCAGTATATATGCACCAGATTTTCCGTTCTTGACCTTTCCAGTGATAAATATCAATGAGTGTAATTGTCTTTATTTTTTTCTGTGCATTCTTCCTAACCCTTGATTCTTTTTGTTTCTAGGTTGTGTTGTGTTTTGATCGTGTCTTCTGGGATCCAAGTGTCAATTTGTTTGGTCATGTGGGTAGCACTACTGCAAGCAGAGGAGAACTTTTCCTGTTTTGGAACCTGTACAAAGGTAGCTGTGGTGCATATCTACCTTTGCCAGTGTCTTATTTTGTAGTTTCAGACTTAGAAAAGAGCACTTTTAAAGATGCTATTAGTCTTCACATATGGATATGATAAGAAGATAGTATTTGTAGGAAGACAAATGTAAGCAGAGAGCACCACTGACTTGCAAACAATTCTGTAGTAAATTAGGGCATAACATGGACGAGCATGGGTTTACTAATGCTGAGTTCCAGGCTATGTCTGTTAAATTGCATTGCTATCTGTCTACTGCAACACTTGCATTTTTATAGGCTACTTTATTGTCTTGCACCTCGATGAAGTTGTCCTGTGACTTATTCAGTGTTATCTTGGTTGCTTTTGTTGAGCATCTATTTAGTTGGCACTGGTATTCTGAAAGACTTAACTTCTAATTTTTTTATTGTGCTGTGTTAAAAAAAACAAACAAACAAACAAAAAAACCAAACCAGAAACCTAATCTTACATGTTTATATAGTATTTCAGAAATACAACAAATAATGCATGTTCCGTTTGCTAAAGAGCAGTGTTGTCTTAATTAAGTATCTATTTTGTCAGGGGGATGTATGGAGTTCTCAGGGAAAAGGGTGATTTGTCTCTGCAGCATTTCTGAATTAAAAATTGTTTCTTTGTTCATAAGTCTCTTTGAAATTGGATTTTTCTCTGGCCGCTTGGAACATTGGTTGAGCTCTTCCCCGCTTTCACTAAGCTTCTCGTGGAAGTGGGACTGGCCAGTTTAATCTTAGCCTTGAAAACCTCAGCTTCCTTGATGTTTCTCAAGTTGAACTGACAGTTTGAAGCCAGACCTCTTTCATAGGGCTGTCAGTCTAATCTGGGATGATTTGATAACTGTAGATGAGCCCCTTTCATCTGTGACCTCAGGTCTTTCTGGTACAGGTGAATTTTCTGCCCAGGATTTCAAGCTTAAGTGTCTAAGAACTAACCAAGATAAATTATATATTTTTCAGATGTAAGGAGTGCTATTGACTTGCATATTCTCTTATGTGGCTGAGTCACAGAACTCAGTGTTTGCAGGTTATCCTGCTTCAGTTTCTCAAGGTGGTGCAGCGCAGGCTTTACAGAGGATTGAGCGCTCAGATTTCAGTGGAACACGCTAGAGGCTTTGCAGTAGCTCTGTCTGCTGCTGAGCATTACCATTCCAGCTTGATAAGCTGCAAGCCCATCCATATGGTTAAGATGCAGTGTGCCCTAGAGGAAAGACAAGGTGTGGTGTCTCCGATTTGTTGAATGAGTGATGTTGTTTCCTGTTTTGAGGGGCAAAGCAGCTATGATTATAGACCAGGGGTCTCGGACTGACAGATAATTTTAAAACTCCTCTTTAGAAAATACTTAAGTAGGCAGAAAGTATTTCTCTGCCTGTTTCTACAGCTGGACTTTGCAATGAGTAGTTTTATCTGCAGTTGGTGTCTGCCACAATAGGTTGTCAGAAGATATTTTCAGTAAGCGTACTGGTTTTGTTCATTGACATTGATCATACTAAAAGCAAAGGTGTATATACGGTGAACACTATTAAATGAGTTATTTTTCTTGCAGGTGACTGTTTAAAGTACCAGTGGGTTTTCTTCTACTCTATCATGGGCAGGCCAGGTTTTTCTTTTAACTGGAGCAAACTGCTACACAAGGAAGATGCCCTTCTAGAGCATTTGATTGTTAAAATATTTGCTAAGACTTGACTGGAGAAATACAAGTAATGAGCCTTGGATAACAAAGCTGTTCATGTATCTGCTTTTGTGGCTTTAAGATGGCTCTTAAAGATGGTTACGTACTTAACAAGTAGTAGAATTTTGGTTTAGATGGAAAGACCATTTCATATTCAAATGTTTTGCTGCTAAATGCAAAATCTTCCTTCTCGTGAAAATAGACAGAACATGTAGAAATAAAATAGAAATGCAGTAAAATCCTACGCTAAAGCACAAGTCAGATGCCTAAAACTGAAAAAAAATCAATTACTGTTTCTCATGGATAGTTAGGTGGCAGGTAATGTGACGACACTGTGAAATATTAAAGTAGACCTGGCTGAACTTGTGAAGCTGTTATTTATTTCTGTCATTTTCTGTAGCTGTAGCATTTTGTACAAAGACTATTTAAACTGAACAGACTGGAGAACAATTATTAATACAGGAGAAAAAAAAACCAAAAAAAAACCAAAACCCAAACCTAAAAGTATCATAGCACATTGTGTATCAAATCTGTGGAAGGTCTTTAAAGGTCTTGTGTTGGCAGAGACCAACTGGTCTCTGAGAAGTGTTTAAAGATAGGTGGGTGAATGGAGTGAAACTCAGATTAAAAGACTGCATGTGTTTTTTACTGCTGTTGGGTGACCTGTTGTAGCTGAGACAGGAATCCTCCCAGTGGTTTAAGTCTAGTTTGGGTAATGAATGCTGAGAAAACAGGAATGCTGTCGATGTCTCAGAGCAGCTAGCCTGCTTTTGAATTATTGTTGTAGACATGTAGACACACTTTAAGATGGGGAGACCCTATCAGCATAGGACAGAGGAACTTCTGTCAGAAAGGCTCAGTGTTTTCTGGAAGTCCAATGAGATTTCTGTTTCTTTTTTCTTGCCTGGCTCTTCTGTTTTTCCTAAAGACATGTGATGAAAAAGATGAGGCCCTTTCTCTGTCATAGTTTTGTGGTTACTCAATGATCTCTGGCTAAACCATATTCTCTGCTTACTGTTTGGTATCAAGGCTCAGTAAACATCACTGCTTCAAGGAGTTTTTTTGTGGTGACACATGCTCATCATGCAAGAAGCTTTTCTGAGCAGCACTTTATTTGCATAACAAAATAGTAACTGTCACTGTTCTTCTACAGCCTTCTGGCTTTCTGTTGCAGTAAATTAATCTGGGTGACTGAATAGCAACATTTTCAGATATGGATAAATGCGAACAAAACAGTCTTATGCCTGGAGAGGCAGGATTTCTGTAAAAATATTTTACTGTCATCTGAATATGAGTTTTCATGAAAAAATTCACTGGAAGCTGCATTTGGAACATGTAGTTGTTCCATCAAGAAAAAATATGTTGACTGAATAATTGATGAAAAGTTCAGGGATCTAATTGTGTCAGGGATGGCAAACTAGGAAAAACTTTGCTGTTGAAACAACAAAAAAAAATTCCCAATGCCTATGGATGATAGGAAACCAGTTTTTTGTTCTTTCCTTCAATTATTTGAAAGACTAGGCTTAATCTTTCAGAAAACTGAGTTTAACTACAGGAGCAATCCTGTATCTTTTTTCTCTCCAATAATAACTACTTCTAGTCCCAGAGGTCTCGCATATTGAATTGTCTTAATTGTATCTTGAGTAGTGTAATTATACTTGCAGTAGTAACAGCCTTACTAGTCTAATTTCTTCAGAATTTCAAAGACTTTTGTTTTTGACTGGAATATATTATTGGGTCTTCCAATATCACAACTGAACTTCAGCTAGTGTTCTTTAAAGAGCAGTCACTTGATGGGAATGTGTACCAGGAGATCTCCATATATACCAGGATATAAGGAATTCACTCATCATTTTGGAAACTTGTACAAAAGTTAAAGGCAAATTTTTGAAAAGGACTTTATTTCTGATTTCAATATGCTTGACATCTCTTTCTAGCTGTAGTATTTCCTTTGCTAAATTTAGGAGTTCATAAATGTCTCCAGTAGGAGAAAGATCAACTGAGAAGAGTTGTCATTAAGCAACTGTGCTCTGATCTGAGTCACTTCTTATAAATGTGTGTTTCTTGACATTGGGTTATTTTAGTAGTTTTTCAGTTCTTACCTAAGATTTTCCTTGAATTTTTGACTACCAAAATGTATGTTTAGTCTTACCATACCTGGTCAGGGGTAAAATGGCCTCATCTATTTGTTTCTATGTCCTATAATCACATTAACACTCTTCACCAGAGCATCACATGGGCAGCTCAGTTATTTGGTATCTGTCCATTTGACATCTGAATTCTTCTCAGAATTGCTGCTTTTCTGAGTCTTGTTCCACTGTTTATAGTTTCCACTCCACTGAGATTTGTTAATGTGAATGTGCACTGGTAGTGAAGAAATCTGGATACTTTGTATGAGTGAAATGCCTGTACAGGTAACTTAACTGCTGTGCAGTTAATCGTACCTAAATTAGATTGTTTGGAAGGTATTGAGTTCCCTTAAATGTAGCACAGATGACTCTTAAATCCCAGTGGAAACTCCTATGTCAAACAAGTGATGTCTTCAGTAAAGAAAAACCTTTTCTCTCTTCTGCATGCTGTACTTCCTAATGTGTGTATTTAATTTTAAATAACTTCTGTTGATAATTCTAAATAGTACTATAGCATATATTAATTAATTTTCCTTTTGGTAATTCAACATGGTGGTGGAAGATCTAGGACTAATGTTGTTGGGTTTGTTTAGTTTCTAACCTCATGACTTAGCTGCCTACTCAAATTCAACTTGTCTGATTAAAATGTTCAATTTCAATAATTTAATTGTTTTTTCTCTCTCCTTCCCCACCCACCCACCCACCCCCAGCACCAATTTTGTTGGCATTGGTAG